CAGCCCTCTTCCTCCTCTTACAGCCTGGCTCTTAGTGAATGGAAATTCAGGAGTTTGGTGATGGCAGAATTAGGGCCTCGTTAGTGACTGTTGCTATTTACACTGGGGCAGCTTCTCAAGTCAAATTCAAAGGCTGACAAGGTTTATTGCACCCCGTGCTGCTTTTGTACCTGACCCGTTTCTGTGAAGCATTTTGGGGAGAGATGCACAGGGAGGGGAAAACCCTCTGGACCCATTATCACTGGGATTGCAGGTGGTTTTGGTGGTGCTGGGATTTCTGAGTGTCCTTGACTGTCACTTGTAAAAGAGCTGCAAAGACAATCCTCAAAGTGTCTGAAATGTCTGTTTTGTGAGTCCTGCTTTAAGCCCTGGTGGCTCCTTTGGGAAGAGGCTAAGGAAATGGATCTATTTATGGTGGTTGTTTAGACTTGGGGGGAGGAAAGAGGGGTGGCTCTAGGGCAGGTTTGTGCCTCTTTAGCAAAAGTACTCTCACATTTTGCTTCTCCCCTCTGCAAAGAATTGCAGCTGGGTGGACAGAAGGTGGTGAATCTGGACTGTTTACAGATCAGCTTTCCAAGTGCACTTTATGGTCTCTGCATAAGTTTCCAGAGCTGTGTCTAGGCAATACATTGCATATGTCCCAACCTTGCTCCCTTTGGAGTTTACATCATTTGTTTTTAAACTTCCAGTATATTTTCTCTCCCTCATCCAAAAGCTGTAAGGAATTAGCTGCTAAACTAAAACAGGAGGGCAATTCTCCTGCTGATAAAGAGCCAGTTTTGGCCCAAGCTGCTGTTGAGTGTGGAGCCCCCAGTCTGCAGCTCCTCTCTTCTACTGCCAGAGAAGTAGTGCTGAGGCCTTCTGCAGGCAAGGAGCTGGGGTGGAAGACTTGGAGGTGAGAGGCCAAAGTGGCAAAACTAGGATGGCCAAAAGGAGGTGGTGACACCTTGGCTGGAAGTGAGCCCTGGTTGTCTTCCTCACCCCGGGCCCCAGCTTTATGGAGCCTTTGCAGGGGCTGCAGGAGGCTGAGACTTCCCTAGAGAGCCTGGTAGCTCCTGAGGCTGAACTGGGGGAATATGTGGCTATTTCCTCAGGCAGATGTGCTCAGATGAGTCACAGAGGGGGTGTCCCCCCACCAAGGTCTCCCTCACCTCTAGCTTCCCTCCCACACTTGAGTGTACCCAGTGAATGTGCTGGTTTGGACAATCCCCCCACTCCCCACCCTGTCCCAGCTTTTAAAGCCTGTCTGTGTGTTTCAGAGCACTTTGCCTGTGAGCTGGGACAGGGACTCCTGCTCACCCAACATCCCAGAGGCTGTAAGGCTGCTCTGAAATCACACCAGCCAGGTGCTCCTGGTGCTACCCGAGCACTCAGGGGGCAGAGATGCAGAGGGGTCCTTTCCCTCCTGGAAAGCTGGGATGTCACCCCTCAGCTGGGCAGGAGAGTCGTGGTTTAAAGCTGGTTTCCAAAGGCAGGGGTTGTTAACCACTGCTCTCAATCAGCCCTGAACTCAGGGTAACTGAAAAGGAGAAAGGAGTATTCTCCTCTGCTTCAGTACCAGGAAATCAGCACCCCCCACGGGAGCCAAGCTGCCAGTTTCTAGTGACTTCTTGTTTTTTGGAGGGTTTCCTCCCTCCCCACTGGCATTACAAATTCCCCTGAGGTGGCTCTACAGATCCCAGCCTCAACCTCCCTTGGCAACTCCCAGGAGGGCTTTCTAGGGTTTGTTTTCCTGGGAGTCTGGAGCCTTTAGCTTCCCCTGCTATGTCTTCTTGCTGTAGTGGTCTGGCAGAGGAGCTGGTTTGGCTGGATCAAAGCACCTCCCTTCCCTCAGGGCTGACCTTCCCAGCTTTCTAGCAGCAAATCCCACTCAGAGGCATGGGAACACCCTGAGCAAGAGGAGATGGGAAGCAGGAGAGTGTCCCCCTAGTAGAGATGGAGCCCCACAAACTCCAGCCTCTCCAAAGTCACCCCCCTGCTTTGAAACCCCCCCTGTGTTCCCATCAGTGATGCTGCTCCAGGGATTGAAACTTCCAGGATTTGCCCAATCCCAGGCTCAGAGATCCACATTTAGCCCCATGGCCTCTAAGGGAACCAAGAACTTTCCAGACTGAGGCCATTTCAGTGGGTGCACAAAGAACTTTTCCTTCCTGCAAACCAAACTTTCATCCCCTTTGTACATTTTTTATGTGGAATTCTGTGTTCTCCCCTTCAGGAAACTCCTCCTTTAAAGGATAGATTTACTGTCCTGCTGAGTGAAACAAGGGAGATGCTGGACTTCCCCTTTGCTTTGGAGATTTAAACAAATGACAGGTGATTTATTTTTAGCATTTTCTCTTTGTCTACAGGGAGGGGAGACACATTCTAAAGGCTCAGGGGTGCTGGGAAGTGAAGCTATAATTTGCCTAAAAGACTGTTTCAGTATCAGTTCAGTGGTGGATTGAAAAGACAAAAAAAAGAATGTAAATATGCACTTGAAGCAGAATTTTATGGAGGGTCATAATTTAATATATTGCAAACTTTGTAAATACTTGGGAAAAGCCTTGTAAAGTGTGTAAATAAATGAGATTTGTATGTAAGAAGAATTAAAAAGAAAAAGAAGTTTCTACTTTTTTTGCAATTAAAGACAAGTGTTAATGCAGCTTTGCTCCTTTCCTGGTTGATTTTCTTTTTGGTGTTGCATATTGGGCCACTGAGGGGTTATTTAACCCTTTTTAGGGCCCTTTTTCTAAGTGGCAATGTCATTTCAAGTGAAAAGTCAGGAGAGTTTTGTTTGGAAAATGTGAAAAGAAACACTTGGGGAAAACGTTTTCAGTTTTATCCTGGTTCCCTAAACAAAGTTGATGCAACAATCTCTGTCCTTCCCAATCATCTCTGTCCTTCCTTCACAATTCAGCTGATTTCAGCCAAGCTGTGAGGGGTAGAAGACAATGAGGTCCTCCAGAGGTCATAGAAACAGGCAAGTAGAGGAGAGAAAGATCCCAGGACAACGTGGATTGTTAGAAACCCTGCTTGAAGACCCTCAAGACGTGAGTCAGGAGAAACCCAGGTTTCCTTGGCTCTGCTGTGGGAAGTTGTGCCTTTCTGGAGGCCACCAGCCTTCAGCTGGGCCTGGGATGTGCCATCAGGTGTCCACCATGCAGCTCCTGGCTCCTGCAAGGTCTGTGGTTCCCCAGGGTGGAGGGGCTGGAGCCAGCAGAGGGAAAAGCCACATTCCTGCCTCGCTGACCTCATGCCGCTGGACACCAGCAGCTCCAGGGTGGGGTTTGGAGCTCGTGCTGCTCATCTCCAGGGCTCAGATGTTGGCTCCAGAAAGAGCTGTCGGGGCAGGTTGGGGAGTTGAGAACTGGCCCAGCAGCCCTGGCCAGCAGCCACTCCTGACCTTGCCCAGTGCAGGGGCTGTTCCTCGTGGTTCCCCAGGAGCCACGTGCCCTGGTTGGGGCTCCTCCAGGACTCTTCTCCCCCTGTGTCCCATTTTCCTTGATCCTTGTTGCTGTGCTATCTCCTGCCAGGCTTAGTCAGGGTGCTGGAGGGCCAGGGGGCTCAGTGGAGCTTGGCCCTTCATCTCCCCATCATGTTTGCAGAGACCAGGAGGTGCATTGGGGTCTTCTCAGTGCAAGGAGGCCACAGGGAGCTGCCTCCAGGAGTTGGAGCCAGAGTTGATCCTTTCTAGATGTTTCTCCAGACATGCAGCCCCAGAGCTGCTGAGGTGTCTCATGATGGAGATGGGTTTGCCTTCACCCAGATTCCAGGCCTGCAGGTCACCTTAGGAATAAATGAGAAGCTCTGGTTTGAGTTGAGGATAACCTGGTGAGGTGTTGGCCTCAGAGCCTGCTTGCAGAAATCAAAATCATGGTAGATCCTGGCCCTGATGAAGGAGAGGGTTAATATGCAGAGGTAAGAGATTTGGGGGGCAGTAGGAATGCTCTTGTGGCATGAGAGGTGATCAATGTGGTCCAAAGCTGAAGGGATGACAGGAAAGCATTCCCTGGGGAGCTGGGAGGGGAGGCAGAGCCAACAGCCTGTGAGTAGCTTGGCTCTGCTGGCCAGAGCTGCCCACCCTGCTCCTTCCCAACAGCCTGTGGTCTCCACAGGCAGCTCCTGGAGCAGAGCCAGGCTGGTTGCACAATCACAGATGGGGAGGAAGAGGCTGCAGGCAGGCTGGGGGGGGCTCTGCCAGACCCTCTCCATGACCAGGTCACTCAGGACACCTGATGTTGAGTCCTCCAGGTGTCTGGCTGGGCAGGGAGCAGAGGCTGCCCAAGCAGAGCACAGGGCTGGGTGTTCAGCCAGCCCTGAAGGCAGCTGGAGGATCTCAGCTCCCTTTCTTTGGGGGACCATTTCAGCTTTATATCTTGTTCTTCCTCTCCTGCCCACCCTCCTCCTGATGGCACAGGGAAGGGGGTATCAACCCTCTGGCAAACCCCATTCCCAGCAGGCTGGGGGGAGTCCCAGGAGGGTGTTTCCCAGCTGCTTCCCCCCAGCTGGGAAACTGGGCTGGCTGGGGTGGGCTCTGGCTCCCAGCTGGGGAGTTCCTGCACCATGAGCTGTTCTCAGCAGTTACATCTTGTTGCCTTCATTCCCAGACACAGCTGGTTTCAGGGACAGGATCCTGGTGTAAAACAGGGCTGGGCTGGTTGATGGGAGAGAAAAGGGACAGGAGGTGGGAGAGAGGACCCATAACTGGGGGCTGGAGGGGATGTCTGAGGTTTGGAGCAGCAGAGTCTGGGATGAAAGTGCCAATCCAAGGATTATGAATCAGGGAGAGAGGGGCTGACTTGGGGGGTGGACCCTGCACACTTGCTGGCACCAGCCCCACTGCTGCTCCCCCATCAGGGCCAGTATGTGAGCTGGGTGTGGAACTCGTGGCTCCCAAACTCTAATAAATACATTTCCTCCCCAATTTTCAAGCTGTTGGGTGTTCCTTGCTTTTTGGGAGGTGCTTTAAATCCTCCTGCCAGAGCCGTGGGCTGCTAAGAAGCAGAAGCTGGGGCTGCAAGATGCTGAGCTCAGGTCTTCCTTCTGTGTTCCTCTTGCTCACAGCACTGGAGCTGAGCTGGTCCCTGAGTGATGAAGAGAAGAAAATCATCTTGGATGAGCACAATAAATACCGTTCCCAGGTCTCCCCTCCTGCTGTGGATATGCTGAGGATGGTAAGTGGATTTTATTGCAGGGGAATTTTGGAGGGTGTTTGTGTGGCAGGAGCCTTGATCTTCATTCTAGGAGGGATCAGGGTTTTCTTAGGGGAGGTAGAGCAAAAAGGGTTGGAAAATGGAGGGAGGTTCTAAATTGCCTCTAAAGAAACGAGTTTCTTTTCACCTATTGAGTTGTTTTTTTATTTGATTTTGGGTTTTGATGTTTTGATTTGGTTTTGGAAGTTCCTGAGTGTGATCTGAGTCCCCTGATGCCCTGCATGGGAGCAGCTCTTGCTCCCAGGAGTCCCTTCTGGAGCAATTTGGGGAGGAAAAGCAGGAGAGACACTGTCCCAGGCTGGAGGAGGAAATCCTGCTGTGTGGGGCATTTGCAGGAGAGGGGGCTTCAGTTGTTGGTCATCCAGTTATCTGGGCTTTTCTTCACTCTCCTGATCCCCACCTCAACCTGTGCAGGGTTGGAGGATCTCCCATTTTGCTTGGGGAAACTGAGTCAGGTGTCCACCCCCACATCTGGCTGCAGTGGGTACAGAAACAAGCTTCTGAGCTGGTGCTGCTTGTTGTTTTACTCAGACCCTTGATTAAAATGTGGCTGTCAGGTTTGCTCTTGCACCACACGTGATGTTTTCTCACTGTTTGCTCCACTTGTGGAGGAGGAGAACAGTTTCTCAGGGACAGCTGGAGGGTCTTTGGGTCATGGTGGGCTTGGAGGAGACCCCTCTGGCCCAAAAGTTGCTCAGGCTGAATTTTAAACCTTTCTGGGCTGGTAAATGGGAGGTGAGTGAGCAAATGAAGCAAAAATCCCACCATCTTCAGGCAGAGGAGGTCTAAGAGGTGACTCCAGACCCCAAGGGGACAGAGCCAGGACCAGAAGCACCACGATCCTATGGACACCCACCCAAGGCACAGAAAACTGTGAGAATTAGGGCTTTGGAGCCAAAGTCTTAGAGAAAACCTGAGGGAAACAGTTTCTCAAGGTCCTTAAGGCAGCAGCAGCTCTGAACCAGTAGCTGCTGCTCCTGGGTGAAGCGCTGGTGGCAGCTCCTGTGCTTTGAGGTGCTCCCCTCACAGCAGGGGTGGTTCCTGCTCCAACACACAAGACCTGGAGCCAAAGGCATGATTTTATTTTATAGATATATAGATATATTTAAGAACAACCCACGTTTAGCTTGCAGCAGCCCTGACAATCTCTTGGGAGAGCTTTTTCCACGGGCTGTGTCTTCTCCTCCATCTTCACCATGCCTGGCTGAGGTCACCCCGTGCTGCTGTTTGGGACACAGGTCTGGTTGCTGTGGAAATAGCTGAGGGGGTGAGGACAAGTGGCCTGAAGCCACTTCTCTTCTTCAATGAAGCCAAGTCCTGCAGGTGCAAGTCCCTGCTCCTGGAGCCCAGCCCCATGGCAGGGGGAGCAGGGGGGGTGAGCCCCAAATGGGGTTTCCAGCTCTTGGAGCCATAGTTGGGAGGTCACCCAAACTTCTGTGCCCCCATCATGGATATTTTGGTGTTTCCTTCCCCTCCTGGTCCTTCAGCCCTGCTGCTCAGGGCTCCAGCCACATCCCCTCTCCACCCCAGTGGTGATGTGTCCTGCAGGGGGGCTGTGCCCTGTCCCCCTTTGGATCCAGCCCTGGCTCTGGTGGGGAAGGTTCTCCCCTTAGGACCCTTCCAGCAGAAGCAAAGCTGCTGCCTCCACCAAATGGTGCAAGGATGGTCCAAAAGAGCTGCAGTGTAGGGTTCCACGTGTGCCTCCCTGTGAGAGAACCTCTCCCTCTGCACATCAAGGTGAGGGACCAGCAGGGACCACGGCTGGTGGGCTCAGCTGGCCAAGGGGCCACTGTCTCTCCAGAAGGAGCTCTCAGCAGGAGCCATCTGGCCACATCTGGGATCCAGGCACCGAGGTGATGTTTCCCAGGAGCACATGTGCTCCCCAGCTCTGTGCAGCTGCTGGGGGAGGTATCTCCTGCTCTCCTCCCATCCCCACCCTGCTCAAAGAGGGGTGTCCCCAGGCCCCCCTCCTGTGGGACCCAGGGTGAGTCTCCTCCCTTCCTCCATCTAACTCCCTGGGCTCTCTGTGCTGAGGTGAGGATGGTCCATGATGATGTTTGAGATGCACCAGCCAAGGCTGGGAAAGTCCTGCTGACCCACCAACCTTCTCCTGTTTGCTCTGAGGTTTGGGTTGTGCTGGGACTGAGGAGTTTCCCTCTCCTGAGGACTATGTTGGGTAAGGGATTTGAACTGGAAACGGTGGCCAGAGAGCCCAGGGGTCCATGACACGTGTCCTTGTGGCTGTTGGGGAGCCCGGTGTCCTTCCCTGGGTGCTGACACTGAGCTCCTTCCAGACCTGGGACGTGGAGCTGGAGGCCTTTGCCCAAGCCTATGCAGAGAAGTGCATCTGGGACCACAACAAGGAGAGGGGCCGACGGGGGGAAAACCTCTTTGCAATGGCTCCAATCCTGGACCTGGAATTTGCTGTGGAAGACTGGAATGCTGAGGAGAAATACTACAACCTGTCAACTTCCACCTGTGTCCCTGGGCAGATGTGTGGCCACTACACCCAGGTACCAGGGATGGAGGGATGGGGTTGGTGGGAAAGGTGGAGGGATGGGGTTGGTGGGAAAGGAGCTGCACCAGAGCCCCAGCTCCTCCCAGAGTCCATCCAAAGAGATGGGGAACCAGGTGGGAATTACAGTGGCACAGGGAGACCTGGGCATGGTGCCAGCCATGACCAGGCTTTTGGAGAAGACCTTTTGTTTTTAAACAAGCTCTGCAGCCTGTTTTTGGGGGGTTCCAGCTTGTCTTGGGTAGAGGTACAAGGTCTGAATGTTCCTTCACAGCTTGGGTGGGAATGAGGAGCAGAGATGGTGATGGGTAAATATGAGGAGGGATGGAGGGATGGAGGGATAGGGGTTTCCAGGAGCAAAGCAGATGGTGATGCTCTTCTTGGGTGGATTAGGAAAGCTGCAGCATGTGGATATGTGGATGGGGAGGTGGTTCAGAGAGGGTCAAGGGGCATGAATAGAAAGGGACCTACAGGAAAGCTGGGGAGGGACTTTTAACAAGGGCTTGTGGTGAGAGGACAAGGGGTAAAACTGGAAGAGGGAGACTGAGGTTGGACATGAGGAGGGAATTCTTTGCTGTGAGGGTGGTGAGAGCCTGGCCCAGGTTGCCCAGGGAAGCTGTGGCTGCCCCATCCCTGGCAGTGTTGAAGGGCAGGTTGGATGGGGCTTGGAGCAACCTGGGCTGGTGGGAGGTGTCCCTGCCCGTGCAGGGGGGTGGATCTAGATGATCTTGAAGGTCTCTTCCCACCCAAACCAGTCTGGGATTCTCTGAATTCTAAAGCCAGGTGGGGTTGTGGGATCTGGGGGACACACAAAGAGATGAGGGGGACACTGCTGTGGTGACAGAACAGCCTTCAAGGCCAGGAGACATCAGGGCATCTGCAGACCCCCAGTCACCTCCTCTTCACCCCTGGTCTTTGCCTTAGGTGGTCTGGGCAAGCACTCATCAGATTGGCTGTGGGTCCAAGTTCTGTGAGAAGATTGAAGGGCTGGAAACAGAGGACATGTACCTGCTTGTCTGCAACTATTACCCCCCGTAAGTCCCATGGCTGATGTGGTTTGTGCTTCTTGGTGGGGCTTCTGTGCTGGAAATGTCCTTCCTTCAGTCCCCAGAGCAGGGCAGGACCTGGCCTTGGTCACAAAGAGCCAGAAAAGGTCTTTGTTATCTTGGGCTGGTCACAAAAGAAGGAAGGGGGGGTCTGGTGATCCTCCCCCCTGATGGTGATCCCTGAGGTCTGGTTCAGCTGGTGGCAGGGACCTGGGCATGGAATTCCACCCCACCAAGATGTGCCCAAGGCTGGTGCTGCAGGAGCTGAGGGCACAACCAGCAGGTCCCTGCTCTGTGCCTGCTTCTTCCCCAGCAGTGGCCACCTGGGGTGGAGAAGCCCATTTGTCCCAGCAGGAAGGGCTGGACATGGGAGGAGAGGCAGGTCCCTGCTCCCAGAGTCCCTGGGACTCCCCTTGGGGACCAACAAGAGCAGCTGGTCACTGCAGACCTTCTCAGGGGTCTGGAACAGAAGGGAGCTGAGCTCACCTGCCCCAATGCCCATTGACTGCTGTACAGGGTGGGGAAGGACCTGGTCCTTGGGCTTGTCTCCTCTGGCTTTAGCAGCCCTGGGGTCAGACTGTTGAGTAGATGGCACTGATGGCCTGTGCCAGGAGACCAAGACCTGTTTGTCACATTGATCCTGAGTTCTGTCCTGGCTGGGCTGTTCCAGTTGAACCAGCCCCCTCTTTGGGGTGGGGGTTCCTCCTTCTCCTCATGCTTTCTTCTTCTTGGCATCTTCTGTTCCAGGGGCAACATGAAGGGTCGAAAGCCCTACAAGGAGGGACCTTCATGCTCACAGTGTCCTGAGGACAGAGTCTGTGTCAACTCCTTGTGTGGTAAGTGAAGCAAAGTTGTCCCTTAGCAGGGACTCAGATCCCTGGCTTGGGGGCCAAGCTCTGAACCACCCTCCTGGAGCTGCCAGGAAGCAGTTCCAGGGCTGGACCATGGTGTCCATGTCCATACCCATGTCCAAGAGCCATGTCCATGGCATCAGGTGTGCTGGCAGTCCCTCAGGACAGCTCAGCTGCCTCCAGATGAGGAGGATCAGACCAGGACCTTGTACCCCCTTAGCCAGCAACTGTTGCCCCATGAGGATGCTCCTTGAGGGGCCTGAGGTGGTGTGAGGGAGGTGAGATGTCTCCAGGTTGGGGAGTGACCTCAGAGGGGTTGGTTGCTGCTTCAGGCCCCCCCACTGATCTCTGCTGGCCCTGCCCAGGGCAGGGGATCCCTTGAGGGGAGCTGACCCAGCCCTAACCCATGGCCCTTTTCATCTCTTACCAGAACCCCTTGGAGAAGAGACCTCTCCAGCCTCTGTGACAACAAAGGCAAGTCCCTCCACCCCAAC